GATCATGTGCTAAGAATTACTATAGAATTAGAAAGCAAAAAACATGCTGCTTTTCCTAGAAAACAAAATGATGTAATACTAATTCTGTGTAATCATGAGTAAGCATCTTGTACCTTGAAAACATTCTGTGAAAGGGTATAAAACCGGTTGTCAAAAAATAAAACACAGACTTGGCCCTATCAAGGTTAGTCTCATGTGTCTTCTCTCTCTCTTGCTGATGCCATTCATCCTGAGGGTACCCCCTGGATGAATACAAAGTACAAAGGAGTTGGCCGAGGTTGGACCCCGGTAGGCTCCATCTCTTCTTTCTTTCTGGAGTTATTTCTTCAGTAGCATATCAGACACCTACCAATGTGAGGAGTTCATGTTTCAGCATCCCATCTTTTTGCCTTTTCATACTAATCATGTGGTTCTCAAGGCAAGAATACTGAAGCAGTTTTCCATTCACTTCTCCAGTGGACCATGTTTTGTCAGAACTCTCCACCACGACCTGTCCATCTTGGGTGGCCCTACACGGCATGGCTCATAGTTTAATTGCATTTTCCCCTCTCAGTAGTGCAGAGCTTTTAGAATATGTCAAGTGGTATGGTTCATTGATTTTGTAATGTACAGATTGCTTTCTCTTCAAAAACGGCTCTGCTTTATCTTTTCCTCTTCTGAAAAATATCAGTTGCATTAAAGTTTTACTGTTCTATGAGGTTTGACATGTCCTTTACACACTATTCTGTATTTAACATCACGTATTTTCTGTCTTACTTTAGTTGAATAGCTTTCATCAACTCATCGTTTAGTTTACTAACTCAGATTTCCAGTAACGAGTCTATTGAGTTCTTAAGAGCGTGCATTTCCTTTTCTTAAGATCTAGTATTTCAAATGGATTCTTTGGTAAGTCTGTTCTACTTACCATAAATTTTGCAACTTTATGTTATTTTTTGCATGAATTAATTATGACAGTTTTTAAATTTCTTGTTTCAAAATCCAATATATGGCTCACCTTCTGGTTACCTTATGTTGCTGGTTGATTCTTTTGTGTTGTTTTATAGCATTTCATGAACCCAACATTTAATTAAAAAAATTGTAGAGGATCCAGAATGATATTTTATTGATATTTAACCATAGGGATTTTTTTTTTTTTTTCTGGCCCTTGGCTATTAGGAAAAATCTAATTAGTTTAACCTAAACAAAGACTAACCTAAAATGAGGTTCCTGATATTTTGGTAAGGGCTTTTCTACTTCTGTTTAGCTTTAGGTTAATGGAAAATTTCTTCTAATTTAAATATGGAAACTCTGAAAGAAATAGGTTTTCAGCCTCTTTCAACCATTCAACTGTTATTATTTGTTAACAACTATGTGTCAACCATTTTTAAGACATTGCATTACTGATGCTTTCCAACTGTGGTGCTGGAGAAGCTCTTCAGAGTCCCTTAACTGCAAGGAGAACAAAACAGTCAATTCTAAAGGATATCAACCCTGAATATTCATTGGAAGGATTGTTGCTGAAGCTCCAATACTTTGGCCACCTGATGTGAAGAGTCAACTCATTGGTAAAGACTCTGATGCTGAGAAAGGTTGACCAACAAAAGGAGAAGAGGGCAGAAGAGGATGCCATGGTTGGATAGCATCACCAACTTAGAAATGAATTTGGGCAAACCCCAGGAGATAGTGGAGGACCCAGGAGTTTGTCATGCTGCAATCCACAGGGTCACAATGAATCAGACCTGATTTAGTGACTGAACAACAGCAATTGTTCCAGTGTCTCCTTTTGTCACTTGCTTTCCCATCCATGAGACTCTAGAAATGGCAGAAGGACATTAGCCACACTTCCAGAGAAAAGAAAAAAAAATTGCCTTCTTTCTTTTGAAGTTGAAAAATAATCCTTATTTTATTCATTGGGTAAAATGTATCTCTGACTTTATTGGAACACTGCACATTTCTTCAAATAATTATGACAAATTTTCAGGTTTAAAAATAATGCTTAACATCTATGTTAGTCAATTAGACTTGCAATGGTAGTATTTACTTTTCATGTATAATGATGCCTAAACAGTTTTGGGGTAAAATATATTAATTTCTTTAAAAGATGTAATGAAAAATCTATTTAATCAAAATCATCTTTTGCTTGTCTGACACCATATTTCATAAAATCTTGTTTTTGTTTGTGTTTTGTCTTTCACCACTTCCCAATGTCATTAGTCTTAAGAAAAAAAAAAGCAGAATAAGTGGACACATTCATTTTTGGGATTTCAAAGGGAAACTGTGGAACCATAAAACTGGATCAGCAGTATAGGAGAGAGGCAGTGATTCAGTGCATTGAAGACTGTCCAGCTGAGATGGTGAGCCATGGGCAGACACTTCCTGGAGTATTTGAACATCAACCTTCAGGCAATGAGTCAGCAGCCATTAGACACAGGATGCTTTGTGAACTATTTTGTGAATGACATGTAGAGGATAAATAGAAGCATGTGAGGTGAGAAGAGCAAGTTATTTCTTTTTGGAGGGCAGTTTACCTCAATTCAGCCAAAACTAAGGTATCAAGAAATAGACAAAGGCAAGGGTTTTAAATGTGGTGATAGGAAAAAGGGCTATTTTGGTGAGCAAAAGTTTCATTTAAAATTTAACATGTGAATGTAAATCAGTAGCAACATCAGATATAGCTGTGGCTGCTGAATCATGTGAAGCCTGGGTCAGGTATGGCCTCAGATAAAAAGAACTGATGCTCAGATTTTGAGTTTTCCGGTACATCAAAACCTTAGGAGACATCCCAAGTCAGTGTTTGTCCTTTGGCTCTTTTCCCTGTTTTTCTCTCATGTCTCTTTTCCTCTCTTTCACATACTTGGACTCATGCTCAGTTGCTTCAATCGTGCCTGACTCCGTGCGACCCTATGGACAGTAGCCCTTGAGGCTGCTTTGTCCATGGGATCCTCCAGGCAAGAATACTGGAGTGGGTTGCCATGCTCTTCTCCAGGGGATCTTCCTGACCCAGGGATTGAACCCAGGTCTCCTGTGTCTTCTACATTGCAGGTAGATTCTCTTATCCACGGAGCCACCATGCTGCACACACATATATATTTAAAAAGGGGGAAGTGATGGAGTGGAAATTAATATAAATATAATATTGGTGAAAAAATGATTTTAATACAAGATAAAAGTAGGACTTCCCTAGTGGCTCAGATGGTAAAGACTGCCTGCCAATGCAGGGGACCAGAGTTTGATCCCTGGGTCAGAAAGTACCCCTGGAGAAGAGAATGGCTAACCACTCCAGAGTTCTTGCCTGGAGAATCCCATGGACAGAGGGGCCTACATTCCATGGGGTCGCAAAGAGTTGGACGCAATTGAGTGACTAACACACATACACACACAAGATAAAAGTAACATTTTTCTATAAATTTGAAGACACTCTTTTGGTTTTGGTTAATCAAAATGGTGCATGTTGAATCTGTATTACTTTTTTCCCAGTAGTCAGAAGTGTAGCTGTCTGATTGACTGTGGAGGTTCAGTTACAGAACACAAGAGAAGGAGTCCAGTGGATCAAATTACTCAGGAAAGACCTAGATAGAACCGAAAGGACAAGAATACTCTGCTGTAGTATGAATGGCCTATAAGCAGAGGTAAAGCACCATAGAGATTGCCATTATGACTCTTGGTGACAGAAATGAAAGGTTCAGTCAAGAAGAGGGAATCTGTTCCTCAGATTGAATGTCACCAACTGCATGGTACAGGATCTTTTATCTTTAATTTTCTAAATTGAAGTGTCATTCAATTATTATATTGTATAACTCATTATACAATATATAACTTGCAAGTATATAATATAATGATTCACAATTTTTAAAGGTTATACCCCTTTTATAGTTACAAACCATGAATATAAAATATATTATAAACTAATAAAATAGTAACTATAAAATAAAGTGGTTATATTCTATGTGAGATATTTGAACTAATGAACAGAGAATAGATTCATAAATAAAATAGAAGTTTCATACAAAATAGTAAACTCACCCAGACCTACTCAAGGACTTACACTGAAGGGAAGAATGGAGAGAATGAAACCAGAGTTGTTCTTATAGGAAAATAGATTCAGAGACTAAAATAGACTCCTATTTTATAAGAAAATAGACTGAGAATGAGGAATGCTGCTGTCAAAGAGCAATGAACATAATTAAAATTTAGAAAATGAACATCCTAGCTCAAGCATGTGTGCGTGTGTATGGGTGTGTGTGCTCAGTCACTCGGTTGAGTCCAACTCTTTGTGACCTCATATACTGTAGACCATCAGCCTCCTCTGTCCATGGGATTTTTCAGGCAAGATTACTCAAGTAGGTTGTTTTTCCTACTTCAGGGGATCTTCCTGACCCAGGGATTGAACCCGCATCTCTTGTGTCTCCTACACTGGCAAGTGGATTCAACAAAATTGTCCTTTGTCTACCTTTTTGTTCTAGTCAAGCCCTCAGTGGATTGGATAGCACTCATCCATGTTGGTGAAGGACGTCTACTAATTCAAATCTCTTCCACAAACACCTTCACAGACACCTAGAAATAATGTTTTACCAGCTGTTTGGACATCCCTTAGCCTAGTCAAGTTGGCACATAAAACTAACCCTCACATCATCTCATTTGCCAATACACCAAAACACACACAAACATACACATACACAATGAGGAAAAATAAACCTAAGCACAATAAATTAATATATTCAAAGATACAGAGGTTTATTAAAATTAATTTAAACACTTCTCACCTGAGGTGTTCATCAATATTGTAATAAAATTTAAAGACAATATGGTATCAAAGGAAAAGTGTAAAAAAACTTGTGGAACTTTTCAGAGGATTTCAGTTACTCTAGATAAGGCTTTCAGAAAAAGATCTCTCTCTCTCTTTTTTTTAAAAGACAGTTTAGGATGTTGTAGACTTTTAGAATAGAAAACGGATTTATTCATAGGAATACAGATTCAGGAAGCTTAAGTGGACCAATTAGTTGAGTTTCTCTGGGATTTTCTCAGTAGAACCCGTATGACCAGTATCTTCTGCAACAGGATGGATGGTAGCAGCCATACCCATACGTGCCGTAGCCACAGCCTCGGCCACCATAGCCACAGCCTCGGCCACCATAGCCACAGCCTCGGCCACCATAGCCACAGCCTCGGCGACTACTGTAGCCACACCCGTAACCACAGCCCAGGCCACGGTGGCCATAACCCAGGCCACCATAGTAGTTGCCGTAGTAGCACATGGTTTCAGGAGTGGAGGGTTTGGTTGAAGAGCAGGGAATCTGTCTCGACAGTCTGAGTATCACCATCTGCATGTGTCCCTTTATATGCACCCTCCACTGTGGGTGGACACATCACAGGGCTTGTTGACCACATGTATCCTACTAATTTATGTTAGTACACTTCCTGAATCTTTGTTTCATTAGACAGTCACAGGCAAGATGACTTTGCTATTAAGTCAGATTTTCTTTGATCAAATCGTGTGCCTTCCATATGCTTTCCTTAACCTCATTTGAAAACCCTCACTCACCCTTTATTTATTTAGCTTAAAATATGTGACTATTATCCAGTTTAAGTGGTGACAAGGTTCTAAAATGTTGATATTTAAAATTTTATCATTAATTCTGCCCTTGTTATGTGAGAATCTTCTATAAAGTAAAAAGTAGCTTTCTTACCAATAGAGTTTATTTTACTAGAGTCAGGTAAGTTTTTCCATATTTATTATTTACCTTAACAAGTAAATTTCATGCAGGCTTAAAAGCAAATAGAATAGTATTTTGAAGCATTATAAACACATCCTCAGGACTTAATAACTGTTGATATTTCACCATCAGTTCCTTCTTTCCCTGTGTGCCTTATGTAGTTATTGTTATTTTTGCCAAATATTTAAAAACCAATCCAAGACAATGTATCATTTTTTTCTTATAAATATTTCAGGTTATAGCTCCATCACAAATGAGTTTAAAAGTATGTCTATTAACATAATATTATCATCACAGAGATGAAATTTTTTTAAAAAGGATTTCTTAGCATCCTCTTAATTTCATGCTCAGATTTCCTTGATTGTTTCACAAATTTATTTTTATACTCAGTTTTTCATGTTGGGACTCACATTAAATTTAAGTCTAATAATGTCTCCAAACTCTCCTGAAATATATAAAAGCCTCCAGTTCTTTTTTAAACCATAGCTTTTGAATATGGTATATTCAAAATACAGTCTTATAAAATTCTTAAGTTTTGTATGTGCTGATGTCTTCCTGGTTTTTCTTTTCATATATTCCTCTATTCCTTATACCATCTGTGTCTTGGCAGATGAAAGTAAAGTGTTGATATAATACTGGTCATCCCCTTCTTATTTTTGATAAAAAATACTTTATAGGTGCTTTGTGTACTTTCTTTTTTATAATATTAAGAGGCACATAGTATGGTTATCTTGTTTTTTCAAATTTAGTAATGTTGGCATTGCTAGCTGGGTTCATGTTAAAATCTTCCTCATTAACTTTTATCTACTAATTTTTACACTTGATTATAGTTACATAGATTCATTATTGTTAGAAGTTCTAAAATTATTTTTAAAGTTTTATCATTCAATTTCAGACCATTGTACCTGTAGCCCAGACTGCCATAGTAGTTGCTGCTAAGATGGTTGTTATTAGTGGAAGGTTTCATTGAGGAACAGAAAATGAATTTCCTGACTTTGAATGTCACCATCTGCAAAGGACATTTTATACAAAATAAGTAATAGATGGGATTAACCACAGACAATGTTGACCTCATATTTCAGGTTAATTTACAATAGAGCTTCTCATGAATCTCTATTTCTTTCATTATGTGACGTAAGTTCCCCAAGCCATGACTACTTGATAACGATGCCTGGGTTCTTGCAATCTAGGCACTTCTATCAAGGGAAGATTCTATTCTATTTTGAACAGCTTTGTCCATTCTATGTGGCCTACATTTGTTGCACAGTCCTTGACTCATGCTTGCCTCTTTGAGATCCCAAGGACTGCAGCAAACTAGGTTTCCTTGTCGTTCACTATCCCTGATGTGCTGTGTGTTTAGTCACTGGCGTTTGCTCAAATTCATGTCCATTGAGTTGGTGATGCTATCTCACCATCTCATCATTTTGTCCCCTTCTTCTTTTGCCTTCAACTTTTCCCAGCATCAGGGTCTTTACCAGTGAGGTGGCTCTTCACATTAGGTGGTCAAAATAGTGGAGTTTCAGCTTTAGCATCAGTCCTTCCAACGAATGTTCAGAGTTGATTTCCTTTAAGATTGATTGGTTGATCTCTTTGCAGTCTAAGGGACTCTCAAGAGTCTTCTCCAGAACCACAGTTTGAAAGCATCAATTCTTTAGCACTCAGCCTTCTTTATGGTTCAACTCACATCAGTGCATGACTACTGGATGTCACCTACACAAAATATATATTTAATATTTTGGATAAATCTCTATATAATTCCATGAAACATATAAGACCTTATTGTGGTTTTGCCCCCATTTCCATTTGAAGAATATTAACTTCCAGTACATAATCAGATATGCAGTAGATAGTTGGAAATTTACTTGAAGCCATATGTCTATAAATTTTAAGAACTGTTTTCAGTTACAGCAAAAGATTTTTCACACCAAAATGTTTTTCATTGACTAATGGCATTGACTAATTGACTAGCTACAAACATATTTCTCTCCTACTATTAATACACCTTTCTTTCAATATGATTTTAATTTTTTTCAATGTATGTTTGATCATATTTCATGAAGTTGACACTTACCCATGATATTAGCATTTATTTTATATATTATTTTTCATTAATTTATCATGGTTCCACATCCAGAAAGCTTTTAATCTATTTATTAGTAGAAATTGATGGCATTTTATGCATTCATCTGCACAGTGTGACTAAATCCTATTGAAATAGATATGGAAAATGAGGAAGTCTCAGTTTAATGATCCTGGTGGAGTTGTTTTCTCTTTAATCTTCCTCTTCATCACTGTGAGGTTCCTAGGGTGTCTATTTACTTTTCTGGGTTGTCTTTGAAAGATGCATGTACAGGTTAACTTATCAGTAGCAGAGGGTCCTCTTGTATCATAAGACAGATGTTATGCTTAGGAATCTGCTGGATGTTCTTGCTGCATACAGAGATATATTTCTTGTTTATAGGAGAGCATGCTTTCATGTTTCCATGTTTAATTGAATGTTTACTCTTTATAACTCAGCTGGGTTTTGTTTTTCTTGCCAACATTGGTTATATCTGTGCAGGTGTGCAGGCTCAGTCACTCAGTCGTGTCTGACTTTGTGACCCCATGGACTGCAGCCCACTAGGCTCCTCTGTCATGAGATTCTTCAGACAAGAATACTGGAGTAGATTGTCATTTCCTCCTCCAGGGGATCTTCCCTACTCAGAGATCAAACTTGCATCTCTTGTATCTCCTGCATTAGCAAGGATATTCTTTACCAAACACCTGGGAAGCCCCTGGTTATATCTAAATGTGAACTAAAAAGGAGAGATAGTATTTGTCCAATTGGTTGAAGTCTACTGAAGCAATGGTGCATGCACATTATCACTTAAAAAGGGTATCATGAACATAAGAGAGAACTAATGATGTTTTAAGTCTAGGTATAAAAACTAATTTTAGCTTATTTTATATTTTATTATTTTATTAGATAATTTTAAACACATAATACAATTATCTCATCAGAATCATCAGAGAGAGATTTGATATTTTGCACTTGTCTTCCAGGTTTTCATGGCTTTCGGAAGGTAAGGTAAGATGGTGGAGTGAAAACCCTCTTCTCTCCCATAGCTACTGAATTCACCTTTCCTTCTGAGGTTTCCCTGGGAAGGATATGAATGATACCAATTCGATAAAATAGAATTATTTGAGTGTTGAGGCTCTGGAGAGAGATATACATTTGAATAGCTATGTTTTTTTCACATGCTCTTAATTTTAAAATTAAAGTCTCAATTTTAAAACAACTTTAAAGTCACATAAAGGATTAACAAAGAATCACCAGTCTTATTCATTGATTCATTTATTTTCTGTTTATTCATTTAAAAAATCTAGAAATGAAAAGAACTTGATTTCTTATAATTGCCAGGCACTGCCTTTGGTGCTGGAACCATGTAAATTCCATCAGTGGTGCTGTGTGTTCTTACTATTATTTGATTTTTCTTTCATAACATCATCACTGTAATATTTTTAGAAAGCCATTTGAGAAAACTCCATTATACTAGAGGGATACATGAATTAAAACATTTTTCATACTGAGAAAGTGAGACCTGACTTCTAGTACTTTATGGCAAACCATAAGGTTCTTATTGAATCTTATGACCCAGTTTTTAGAATAAATTTAATTTTGCAATTCTATATTAGTCTTAATAATATCTGCATCACACAACATGTTGATATTTCATATTGTTAAAATGGCTTTGCCTTACCGGTAATTTGGGGAAAAGTTTATAATTTTAAATGAAGGTTGAAATGAAACAAAATGTCAAATCAAAATGAGTCTTCAACAGACTAATGCTGAAATTATATTATTCTGATTTTTTTTCTTGATAGAGTTTGAAGAAAGGTTGCATTCAACATAAAATTAAGTTTGATAGCTTCAACAGAGAATTTTAAAATATAAAATTCAAAACTACTCTTCTGCAAAAGCAGTGATTTAATTTCTAATGCCTGCTGTGCTGATGTGGTCATGGGGTGGTACTTTCTAGAGTTCCTCAATGACAGAAATAATGTGCAGACCTACTCTGTGCTACCATCACCCAGAGATGGGACATAGAGGATAATTTAAAGACTGTGAAGTGGAAAGTCCAAGCCTACCACCAAGAAGCACAGTCCTAAATATCCAGATATATAAAGAAGGAAATAGCCAAACACACAAGTACACAGATTATGGTGACAGGGTGTAAGAGTACTGTTGTGGAGTTTACACATTATTTCAAATCTTAGCTTGTGGGCTACTGTTTTAATATGATAATGTGTAAATGGTTGCAGCGAGGACAGTTTTATTAAAAGCAAGTTTCATTTAGAAATAACTTATTCTTAGTTTTTGACTTCTTAACATATGAAGGAAGACAGTGTTTCTGTCACAATAACACTCTCACACTTGTGCATGAAACAGATATAAAAAAAGTCATGTTAAACACTCAATGTTGTCAATACAGAATATTTTATTGAAAATGGGAATAATATTTTTTCCTGCATGAAGGATTTTTGTGTTTGTTGTTCAGTTG